TTGGGTGCAAAAGTAGGAGGTAGATCTCTGCAAGACCCCATAAGATGTAGGGGCAGAAGTAGACCATTCAGCCCATCAATTCTGTTCTACTTTTCATGATAATCCTCAACTCCACTTTCCTGCCTTTTCTCCATAACTCTCGATTCCCTTACTGTTTGGAAAGCTCTATCTCAACCTACAACAACAGGCACTAGCTTCACCCTATCCTGATACTGTGGCCGCTCAACCCCCTGCCACCGCAGAAATAATGGTGTAAACAAAATTCATCTTAACTTTTAGAGGAAACTAGAGGATGATGGATAAAGGCAGCTGAGAAAGAGAGCTTCAAAATAGAGAAATTTGGATTTTATAAAGCAGCAAAATTCCCAAGTGGAATCTTCCCAGCCCTGAATTGTGTGGGCTATGGTGAGAAATTTGTGAGAATCATGTAAAAAGTCAGAATTGAAAGCAATGAGTCACATTTTCCCACTGGGTTCTGAATGCTGACGAGAGATTCTTACTAGTGAGAGGTGAGAGGCATGTTAATGGGGATTGTCTCTTGTTCTTACCTAATCTCACTTCACTAATTTTGCTATCTGCTGGATAGGAATGATTTGCTGGGAGTTCCTAAGACTCCAGCTCACTATTTGCTCCTTCAGACCTCTGTCTTCGACAGTGGACTCCAAACTCTCGGGCATGTCCCATGTACAACAGCTGTATACACATCCACAAACACTGGCATCTGGCTCATGCCAACCTCTCTGCTCCAACATGGCACATCTCCAATGCACTTACAGTACACTTCTGCTCCTTGGGGCATTGCTTGGAACATACTAGCCCCTCTCATTGCAATGCTGCTGCAAGGACACTTTGCACACAGGGGCAGGCTCTTGGCTAATGGATTAGAACAGGCTGCATCTCAGGGCTGCTTAGGCTACTTGTTTGCTCTCTCAGTGATCATTCACTTAGCATCTACTTGGAGTTCAGGGAATTTCTGTATTTGGTTGCATTTAAATGCATTTCCCCATTAGCCAGAGCTTAAACGTTCATAGCACTGTTCTACTGCCTTGCAGGCTTGCTCGCAGCCATCAGTCACAGAGTCATACAGCACTGAAACAGATCTTTCCGTCCAACTAGCCCATGCCGAAATTAATCCCAAACTAAACTAGTCCCACCTGTCTGCTCCTGGGCCATATCCCTGCAAACCTTTCCTATTCATGTATCTGTCCAAATGTCTTTTAAATGTTGTAATTGTACCTGCATTCACCACTTCCTCAGAGAAGTTCATTCCACACGCGAACCATCCTCTATGTAAAAAATTTGCCTCATGTCTTTTTTAAATCTCACTCCCCTCACCTTAAACATGTGCCCCCTAGTCTTGAAACTCCCATCCCAGGAAAAAGACAACTACCATTAACTCTATCTATACACCTCATTATTTTATAAACTTCTATCAGGTTGCCTCTCAACCTACTATGCTGCAGTGATAAAAGTCCCAGCCTATCCAGCCTTTCCATATAACTCAAACCTCCCATACCCAGCAACATCCCAGTAAATTTCTTCTAACCTCTCTCCAACTTGATAATATCCTTCCTATAACTGGGCAACCAGAATTGGACACAGTATTCCAGAAGAGGCCTCACCAACGTCCTGTACAACCTCAACATGACTTTCCAACTCCTGTCCTCAAGGGACTGAGCAATGAAGGCAGGCTTGCCAAATGCCTTTTTAACCATCCTTTCTGTATGTAACACAAACTTCAAAGAATGATGTACCTGCACCCCTAGGGTCCCTCTGTTTTACAACACTACCCAAGGCCCTATCATTAATTGTATAAGCCCTACCCTTTGTTTGTTCGACAAAAATGCAACATCTCGCATTTATCCAGATTAAACTCCATTTGCCATTTTTCAGCCCATTGACCCATTTAATCAAGATCCCTTTGTAATCTTCAAAAAAACCTTTTTCACTGTCTACTATGCCACCAATTTTGGTGTCATCCGCAAACTTACTATCAGTGCTTTCTGTATTCTCATCCAAGTCATTTATGTGAATGACAAACAAAAGAGGACCCAGAACCGATCCCTGTGGAACATCACTGGTCACAGGCCAAAAAGCAACCTTTCTGAAGAAGGGTCCCGACCCGAAACGTCAACTTTCCTGCTCCTCTGTTGCTGCCTGGCCTACCCTGTTCGTCCAGCTCCACACTGTGTTATCTCATCTTCCACCATTATTCTCTGTCTCCTGCTGTTAAGTCAATTATGAATCCAAGTGGCAAGCTCACTCTTAATCTCATGTGAACTAACTTTACAAATTAGTCTACCATGCGGAACCTTGTCAAAGGCTTTAATAAAATACAAATAAGCAATATCTACTGCTCTGCCATCATCAACCTTTTTGGTAACTTCCTCAAAAAGCTCAATCAAGTTTGTGAGACATGATCTTCCTTGCACAAAACCATGCTGACTATCCCTATTCAATTTTTGCCTCTCTAAATGTCCATAAATCCTATCCTTTATGATCACCTCCAAGAATTTACCTACAACCGAAGTCATACTCACAGGTGTATTGTTCCCCATTTGCACCTTACAACCATTCTTAAACAAAGGTACAACATTAGCCACCCTCCAGTCATCCACCCTTGCCCTTACTTATAGATGATGCAAATATTTCTACAAGGGGCCTCACAATTTCCTCCCTTACTTCCCAAAATATTCTGGGCTACATTAGATCAGGTCCTGGAGATTTATCCACCTTTTATGTTCTTTAAGACCTCCCAAACTTCCTCTTCTGTAATGTGAACTGTTTTAAAACAACAAAGTTTATTTCCCTATGTTCTCTAGACTCCATTTCTTTTTCCATAGTAAAAATTGACACGAAATATTCACTTAGTATCTCTCCCATCTCCTGGGGTTCAACACAAAAACGATGTCCGTGATCTTTAAGAGGCAGTACCCTCTCTCTGGTCACCCTCTTGCTCTTAATGTATTTGTAGAATCTCTTTGGAATATCCTTAACCTTATCTGCCAAAGCTTCTCATATCCCCTCTGCCTTTCTGATTTCTTTCTTAAGCATGTCCCTACACTCGTGATATTGATTAAGGGATTCAATTGAACCAAGTTGTCCATATCTAAAATAAGATTCTCTTTTATTCTTGACTAGAACTTCAATATCCTTTTTCATCCTTTGTTCCTTAATCTTACCAGCCTTACTCTACACTCTAACAGGAACATAATGCATCTGAACTCTCGTCATCACACTCTTGAACGCCTCCCACTTGTCAGACCTTCTTTTACCTGCGAACAGTTTACTCCTATCAACTTTTGAAAGTTCTTGTCTCATACCATTAAAATTTGCCTTACTTCAATTAAAAACTTTAACTTTTATGGAAGGCTTATCCTTTTCCACAACCACTTTGAAACAAATAGAATTATGATCGCTAGACCCAACAGTGTTCTCCCATTTTTCAAAGGGGGGTAAATCTTGTTGTACTATGTGCCAGATGTTTATAAAGCAAACATATTGCATCTGCCATAAGCACGTGTCCATATCTCAAAGTCTAAAGGTATTAGCCTTCAGTGAAGCCCAGGAAGATGCCAGTCAGTTAGGGGGCCTTGGCATAGTAGTGAAGGGAAGCCTCTGATATCGGTCCAGAAGCTATGCTATGGCCAGGTCAACCACTTGAAGCATGGACTGTTTTCTCCTGAAATGAGAGAAAGGGAGCGATTGAGTGAGGCAAAAATGGCTGTTACTGCTGTTACCTGCTTGTGCAGGAATGGGAAAAGTGTCCCAAGTGAGTGAGTCAGCAGTGCAGAGGCCATGCAGGGTTAGGGGTGTGGGGAGATTGGGTAGGTGAGAGTGGATGAGGTCTTGACTGCAATAGTGAGAGTGATGAAGCATGAATCTTGTTGGAAGATAGGTGCAGTAGCAGCGATAGGGTGAGTGTAAAATAGCACAGAAAAGATAGTGGCACTCACACTAGCAAATAGAAAACATTGCTGACCTTTTTCCTACACAGCTGGTCATTTTTCAAGATGGCCGAGAATGCACTGAGCCAGATGGCAACTTCATTCAAGACTGGCAGCGTCTGGTGTCATGGCCAGTCCTAGCTCCATATTAATTATGGCAAAAATGACTAGGTTAGAGGCCAGAGTTCCTGCACCAAGTAATTCACTTCCTGGCTGCCAAAGTCTGTCCAACAACACTGAAGAAGCTTGACATCGTCCGGGACAAAATAGCCTGCTTGATTGGCTTCACATCTACAAGCATCCACTAACCTCCACCACCGACGCTCAGTAGCAGCAATGTGTACTATTTACAAGATGCACTGCAGAAATCCTCTGAGGCTCCTTGGACAGCACCTACCAAACCCATGATCAATTCCAACTGAAAGGAAAAGAGTAGCAGATTTTATTTTTATTCATTGATGGGATGAGGGTATCGCTGGCTAGGCAGCATTTATTGCCTAGAGGGCAGTTACGAGTCGACCATATTGCTGTGGGTCTGGAGTCACATGTAGTCCAGACCAGGAAAGGATGGCAGTTTCCTTCCCTAAAGGACATTAGTGGACCAGGTGGGTTTTTCCAACAATCGACAATAAATTCACGGTCATCATTAGATTCTTAATTCCAGATACTTATTGAATTCAAATTCCATGAGAATATCACCACCGGCAAATCCCCTCCAAGCCCCTCAACATCCTGATTTAGGAATATATTGCTATATCTCCAGTGTCACCAATTGCATCCCCATCAACCAGGGATGGGCAGTAAATCCTGACCCAGCCAGTGAAGCCAACATCCCATAAATGGATTAAGAAAAGGCAATGGCCCACCTCTGGAGGGAAGAAAGGAAGAAAAGTTACGGTAATAATTGAAAATTAAAGTGTAATTGAAACAATTGATAGAAAAGCATCAGATAAGGATGTTAATAGATTTTCTTTAACCTTACAGCTTGTTCTATTGTTGAACTTCCTGATTGCAATCCATTTAACCAGACAAATCTGCTTCCTTTTTGTACAGGTGAAGCAAAACTGAATCCTCAAGATATTGCCAATGCACTTCTGGATGCAATAAGTGATTACGTGGTGGACTTTGCTCAACCTTCGCTGTCTTTGATAAGGATTATTTTGTTCAGTCCATTGGTGCTGGATTCATTTCGCCAATGTATAGAGAAGCGTTTCAAACATTCCTACTGTTCGAAACTTGATCATCCTCCAGGTGCTTGCCATAATCTTGAATCTAGTTGAGTGATTGCACATGTTTTGCACTGCTGGTATCAGCAATGAGTTCAAATAAACTCCATCCTCACTGGAGTAGTGATGTTACACTAAAATGTAGGTGTTGTAAATGATTTGAGTCATTGTGGATACTCATGAAGGCAGATAAAATCTGTGCAACTGTCAAGCCTTGAAGGTATTTAAATGTCCAACCCCTTATGAAATAAGAAAACTGGTTGCCTGCAAGAATGGGACGTTAAAAAATTGTTTTAGCAGTTATGATAGCTGTACATTCATGTCCTTCTAAGGACTGTCATTATATCTTACTTAATGCTTGGCTGCTATACACAATCTAGCATTATCTCACTAGGGGGTTACGAATTCACAGTTTAATTGACAGCTCATAGAGGTCATTTAAAGATTAGCTGTCTTTGAAGTGCATTTGCGAATGCAGCTTTTTTTTATATGAGGAGTTGAGAACTTGAGGCCATTTAAATATGTTGAATGGGATTTCATGAGTGGGATTTTTTTTCATATAGTGAAGGTTCTAATAGATATTTGGAATTTTGTTTTCTTTAATTACAACATGGGGGAATAGTGGGCAAGTTAACACAGAATTAATTGGCAAAGAATGGTGGGTGGGTTTACATGGGTTGGCATGATTTGACATTAAGTTGGCACAGGGGAAATGAGGGACCATGGGGGTGGAAAGGGGGTTGGTGTTGGTATCAATTTTGCATGTGCTATAAAGCACCAGTGGGGATGTGTGGAGGAATTGTGTTGGGATGTATGGGATGTGGGAGGGTGAGAGGTTGTGGCAGGGCCAGAGGATTCATGTTTACCAAAAAGACTAGGATGAAATGAGGCAGTCCTTTTCAAAAGGCAATCTTGGCATTCTGCAGTCTCTGTGACTACCTCTAACGTGTGCCCAGGTGTGGCAGACAGGCTACCATCTCAAAACGATGATCCCACTACTCAGTGAGTTTCTCCCAGGGCAGTCTCAGCAAGCTGGGAGTATTTTCCCCACTCCCTCCACCAGACTGGAGAGCAAAGTTCCAGGCCTGTATTTTTGAATGATATGAGTGAGAAGCAACAGATGGGTGAGAAATAGGAAACAGTGAGGAGAAAACACCAAAGGAACAGGAGGCAGGAAGAGAAGCTTTTGCAAGTGATTCTGTGAGAGCAGCTGAATCGATTAGAGCGGAAGCAGCTGGATGGCAATGGAGAAATTGAATTAAACATTCAATTTATTTTTAAAAGAAGCTTGTTCACATGATGCGGGCATCGCTGGCTATGCCAGTATTTATTGCCCATCCCTAACTGCCCAATTGCTGTGGGCCTGGAGTCACATGTAGGATGGACCAAGAAGGACAGCAGATTTTCTTCATGACAGGGCATTAATGAGCCAGATGTACTGTTAACAATTGGCAGGGGTTCCATGCTGGTCAGTAAGCTAGCTCTTATTCCAGACTATTGAATAGTCACTATCTACCATGGTGGGATTTGAACCATATTTCCCAACCATTAGCCTGGACTCTTGATCTGTTAGCATTACCACTATGTCACAGCCTTCCCTGAAGAGCTAATGTAATCATTGGCCCTTGTTTTCTGTAAGTTGCATCCAATGAGAGTGGGATGAAGCCATGAAATGTCTTCTATGCAAGAATCTACCAGGCATTACCTGAAAATTCGGGACTTGAATCTAGTCAAAGAATATTTTTCTTATTGATTTGAAGGGTACACCATGATGTTAGAGATCTGTAGTTACTCTGGTGCACAAATCTATTTATATTTTGATGCTGTTAGTCAAATTCACACCTCATGAATCGAACAGATGCTGTAGTGATTACTTCTGCAGACATTGTAAGCTTTCTACTTTTGCTGGTTCTAGACCCCCCTTGTAACTTCATATGTATTGCAGGTAAGTTAGGATTGCTTTCTGGGGACATACTCAATTAACCTTCATAGAGCCACGATTCGGCTTATTTACTGTGGCGTTCCCTGACCCTAAAAACCTACTTGTTAACACCAGGAAGGGATCAAAAAGTGACTTGGAAAAAAAAAGTAGAGTTAAATTTAAAGTGAAAAACATCAGGCAAGGAAGAAGAAAGGGGAGACAAAGAGTGGGCAGAATTAAAATGTACAAAGTTCTTTATTTTCAGCAAAAGTCAGATAGTTTATTTTTATAATTTAATCTTAATGTTCTAAGAATTAGTGACTTCTGACTTTTGAGAAGCTGAGATATCAAATCATAGTTTCTATTTATTAAACACTAGTTTACTTTCTGTGCATTACATCTAGTCAATGAATTTCAACAGTAGCTCTTTCATTCATTCACCATTACATTGGCAAAAGAGCCATTGAGATTACAGAAAGCTGATGTAATTGATATTTTGCCATTTTCCCCAGGTTTCTGCAAGTCATTTGTCCAGATTTTGGTAGATAACAGGTAGTATCAAGATGGAAATTAAGCCTTCCTGGGAGGCTAGTTTAAGTGGGAGAAGAAGGCAATGGATAACTGGCCCATATTGTAAAAGTCCAACGTTCTGACCGCATTCTTATATTTACAGAATGAATTCCTTTCTCTACAGTGGAAAATATTATTAGGAAGTGTGCTCATGGAACTTATTAGGTATGTATTATCTTGTGTAAGACAAATCTTATCTTTTTCAGCACAAACAGTTCTTCCATTGAAACCTATTGATGCAGTTCGACCTATTTATCCAGTCATTCTGGGGGCAACAAAGAATTTCACTGCCACAGTTGAGATATATGGTGTGACGAAGAATAACATCACTGAGGTTCAGAAGGATGTTGAAGATTTCATCAAAGGCAACTGCAGCAGCCAAAAAATATCCAACACAGTTGCAGGTTGTTTCTCAGATGACGAGAGGCAACGAATCACAGATCTCTGCGAAAAGTATCAACTGAAAGTTGAAATTCGGGAAAAGGAAATAATAATAGAGGGATATAATGTGGATGTTCTGGAATCCATTGTAGAAGTGAACTCTATGCTCCATTTTGTCAAGGAAAGAGAGACTAGAAAGCAGGAAGAGATTCAGCTGAAGAAAACTGTCCAGTGGGAAATTATGACTGATGAAACAGCGCAGCCTTATGATCAATGTTTAAACTACGAAATTGAGAGAGCTTACTTGGATAAAAAGAAAACCATAGTTTGCATGAAAAATGGGAAAAAGTGCACAATTGATTTTGGTTTGATGCAAGAAAAGGATTCAGAAGGAAATGTAGTGGATATTAAGAGAAGAGTCCTTCAAGGAGGTATGTCAAAAACAAATAGTTATCTTTTTGGAAGTTGCAGCACACATCATGGTGAATCCTCATAAATTACTTTAGATTACTCACTGATTTTCCCTCAGACTATATTTCAAAAAATGGCGTGTTTCTCCTTTTGAGTAAGCCTAAAGTTAGAATCCCTGGATGTGGTAACTGCCCTACTGGAAGTTTGATGGGGCCATCACACTGCTCTATCCAAATTCTGAGGCCAGGATTAGTTAAAGAGAGTGTCATTTGTGTTTCAGCTCTGATGGCTATCAAGTGATCCCAAAAAGAAAGTAAAGGCATGTTGAACTTCAGTTGATGACCAAATCAGATATGGTGATAATGTTGATGAACTTGCTGACACACTGCAAGTTCTTCTAATTAAAGGATAATTAGTTGGAGATTGTAGTGAAACTACATTCTATCTTGAGTAGAGAGAAGGATCAAAATAACAGACAATGGTTGGGATTGGGAGTGAGTAGAGAGGGAGGAATTGATTATAATGTCACCTGATAAATACTGGTGTATGGCGGGGGTTGTTTAGCTGAACAGTGGTTCAGAAGGAGTATGGGTGATCATGGCAAAAGATTTTGGACAGTAGCCTTTCACCTGAGCTACAAGCAGTGCTGTAAAACTGACTGAACTGCAGGAACTGGCAGCTCCTAATTCCTTCCCTCTACTGGGTTTTCTAATCCTGAAGAGCCCAAGGAATTTTTAATCAACCCTGTCAGCCAAGTTATGGCACATGTCTGGGGCAAGTGAGGCTTGAACCTGATCCTTTGTCCCAGAGGTAGGGATACTACCTCTGCACTACAAGGTGAGGGAATCAAATCACAGCCATTTAATTAGGAACAAAATTCAGGCCTACCAAGCCTGTCCCACTATTCAATTAGATCATGATTGATCTTTTACCTTAATGCCATATTCCCTTACCATCTCTATATCCCTTAACATCAGTAGTCTCCAAAAACCTATCAATTTCTTACTTGAACATTTTCAATGATAAAGTTTCCAAGAGAATGCCAAAGATTCACCATCATCTGAGTGAAGAAATCCCTCTTGATCTAAGTGCCTATCCTTTATCCTAGGTTATCTGTCCTGGTTCTGGTCCTCATCAACCAGGGGAAACATCTTACATCCCTCCATTGTGTCATCCTTACAGGAATATTCAACAAGGTTACCTCTTATTCTTTGAAATTCTGGGGGGAGAAAGGCCAATCTCTCTTCATAAGACGATTATCCTCACAAACCTGTCATCCCACAGATTAATTTGGTGAATTCCCGTTGAACTCCCTCTATAGCAAGTGTATCCTTCCTAATGTAAGGAGACCAAAGTTGTACATAATACTCCAGGTAGAGTCACACCAATGTTCTATACAACTACAGCAAGAAATTTTTACTTCTATACTTAAATCTCCTTGAAATGAACACCAACGTATTGTTTGTATTCCAATTTCTTTGCTGCGCCTGCGTGCTCGCTGTTAGTGACTCAAAGACAGGGCATTCATACATCCCCAACGTACCATCATTTCAGAAATATACCGTGTTTAAGTTTTTTTTCTACCAAAGTGAATAACTTTATACTTATTCACATTATATTCCATCTGCTATGTTCTATCTCATTCACTTAGTCTTCTCACATCCTCTTGCAGTCTCTTTGATTCCTTCTCACAACTCACTTTCCCAGCATGTTTAGTATCATTGGCAAATTTGGAAACATTATATTTGGTCCCTAAATCCAAGTCATTTGTATTGATTATGAACAGTTGTGGACCCAACACTGAATCTTGCGGTATACTAGAAGTAACAGCCGGCAATCCTGAGAATGATCCATTCATTTCTATTTTCTTTTCTGACTGTTGACCAGTTCTCAATCTGTACTAGTATAATTTCCGACTCTGATTTTATTTACTAATCGCTGTGTGGGACCATACCTAAATCCTTCTGAAAATCCAAATACAGCACATCCATCGGCACTCCTTTGTCTGTGTACAAGTAATGCCCTCAAAAACTTCGACACATTTGTCAAAAATGATTTCCCTTTCATTAATCCACATTGACTCTGTTATTTGTGCCATTCCTTTCTAAATGTCCAGCTGCTGCACCCTTTAGAATAGATTTTCACATTTTCTGTACTACTGACATCAAGCTAACAGGTCTATTGTTCTTCATTCTCCTTCATCCCTTCTTAAATAGTGAGGTTGAATTTCCTATCTTCCAATCAGCAGGAACCTTTCCAGAATCTATAGTATTACTAAAGATAATTGTTGAGTCCAGTATCTCTTTGGCTATTCCTTCAACACTGTAATGAAACTAACCTGGTCCAGGAGATTTATCAACCCTTAATCCAGCCAATTCTTCAAGTGTTATCTCTTTACTAATAATAATTTCTTTTGGTCCCTCAGTTATACAAGTCTCTTGGTTGGCTAGTATTTCTGGGAGAATTTCTGTATCTTCTTCCGTGAAGTAGACATAAAGTAACTGTTTAGTTTCCCTGCCATATCGCTTTTCTCTACCAGAAACTTTCCAGTCACAGTTTGTAATGGCACCACATTTACTATTGCTAATTTTTTTCTTTTCACATGTTGATAGAAGCACTTTCTCGCTAGCTGCATTACTAGTCCCTTTTCCATTTCCTTATGGATCCTAAATTCATTAAACTTCCAAAGTCTGAAAACAACAAAACCTGGTAATGTATAATCACTTAACTGAAATGTGTTAAGAACTAGGAAGATAATATAGTTGAGTGCATGGCTAAAAAACTGGTATAGGAGGGTTAAGAGATTTAGATCTTTGGGATTTCATTCCAGAGGAGGAGAGACCTGTCCAAGTAAGACAAGTTGCAAATAAACTGGAGGTACATCAACATCCTTGCAGGGAGGTTTGCTAGTGTCACTCGGGAGGGTTTAAACTAGTGTGGCAGAGGGGTTGAGAACCAAAACATTGGGTCAGCATGTGGAGTGATTGAAGAGAAGGTAGAGTGTTATGGACCAGACCAGACCCCCTCAAAATATTTTAAAAAGGTAGCCTAGACCCTAACTTTTACTTATTTTAAAGGTAGATGTGAGCTGTGTGTTCCAGATATGATGCGACTGGTCAAACCGCTTGTCAGTAAGCAAAACACAATTTATTTAACACTACAGTTAAAATACAAACAAAAGAAAGAAGAATTTAGAATAACTTAACTATTGGAAAATGTAACCGAATAAAATATACAGTACCCATTGCTAATTCACCGTTCCAACATAGTAACATCCCATAAACCCACACCTTGGTAAAAAGGTACATTTAGACACAGATTCTTACATGTTGTTCTCCAATCCAGGAGGAAACAATGCCAAGAGAGGTTTCAGGGAAGTAACAACTAGGAATCATTCACTGAAGCTTTAACTCTTCTGGAACCCCAAACAGCTTCTGACTGCTACAACTGAAAAAACGAGAAAGCATGGTCTGTGAGAGCTAGCCACTCCCCTTCCATCGTTCCATTTGTTTTAAAAAAACCTGAAGGCCTCCTAGGTTATTTACTTTAAGCCATTTTCAATAGCCAGTTTGTTACCTCTGCCTTTATAACCTCTCTTCAAAAAACTCCCAGGACAAAACAATCTTCTTAAAGTGACAGCATCGTCACCAGAGGAAGACAAAGCAAGGGCAGGTTAATGAACATGGCCGGACGATTGATCTAAAGTGTATTTATTTTAATGCAAGGAGTATATCAGGTAAAGCAGATGAGTTTAGAGCCTGAATTGGCACATAGAACTACGATGTTGTAGCCATTACAGAAATTTGGTTGAGAGAAGGGCAGGACTGGCAGCTCAACATTCCAGGGTTTAGATGTTTCAGGCCTGATAAAAGGGGACATAAAAGGAGTGGGGGAGTTGTATTACTGCCTTAGGAGAGTGCAACAGCTGCACTAAGACAGGAATATGAAGGAAGCAGGAAAGAACTTAAACAATCAATTAGGAGAGCTAAAAGGGGCCATGAAATGTCCTTGGCAAGTAGGATTAAGGAGAATCCCAAGGCATGTTATCTGTATATTAGGAGAAAGAGGGTAGCTAGTGCAAGGGTAAATCCACTCAAGGACAAAGGAGGGAATTTATGCATCGAGCTGGAGAAAGTGGGTGAGGTCCTTAATGAATACTTCACATTGGTATTCACCAAGGAGAAGGACATGGGTGACGATAAGATTAGGGAGGGGTATGTTGATATTCTAGACAATGTCAATATTAAGAAGGAGGAGGTATTAGGTATCTTGAAAATCATTAAGGTAGATAAGTCACCAAGGCCTGATGGGATCTACCCCAGGATATTGGGGGAGGCAAGGGAGGAGATTGCTGGGTCCTTGACAGAGATCTTTGTATCCTCTTTAGCCACAGGTGAGGTCCCAGAAGGCTGAAGAATAGTCTGTTGACCCTTTGTTAAAACGGACAACAGGGATAATCCAGGAAATTATAGACCATTGAGTCTTACATCAGTGGTAAAGAAATAATGAGGGAAGATTCTTACGGACAGAATTTACTCGCATTTGGAAAAGAATGGATTTATTAGGGGTAGTCAGCATGTCTTTGTGCTAGGGAGGTCTTGTCTCACAAATTTGTTTTTGTTGAGGAAGTAACAAGGATGAATGATAGGGGTAGGGCAGTGGATGTTATCAACCACGGACTTTCATTAAAGCATCTGACAAGGTCCTTTATGATAGGCTGGTCCAGAAGATTAAGTCACATGAGGTCCAGGAGCGGGTGGGGGGAGTGAGGTGTTGGCAAGTTGGAAACAAAATTGGCTTAGCCATAGAACACATCGGGTAGTTGAGGAGGAGTGTTTTTTTTTCTGACTGGAGCCCTGTGAACGGTGATGTTCAGCAGGGATTATTGCTGGGACCTCTGTTGTTTGTAAAATATATAAATTATATGGATGAAAAAGTAGGTTGTCTGATTAGTAAGTTTGCAGACAACATGAAAATTGGTGGAGTTGTTATTAGTGAGGATTGTTGTCAAAGGATACAGCAGTGTACAGATCAGTTGCAGTGTTGGGTGGAGAAATAGCAGGTGGAATTTAATCTGAACAAGTGTGAAGTGATACATTTTGGGATGTCAAATGTGAGAGGAATGTGTAATGTAAATGGCGGGATCCTTAGGAACATTGACAAATAGAAGGATCTTGGGGTGCAAGTCCATAGCTCCCTGAAAGTGGCAACACAAGTAGGTAGGCTAGTAAAGAAGGCATACGGCATGCTTGCCTTCATCATTCGAAGCATTGAATATACAAGTTGGCAACTCATGTTGCAGCTACTTGGAGTATCACTATAGGGAGGATGTGGCATTGGAGAGGGTGCAAAAGTGGTTCACTGGAATGTTGCCGGGATTGGATTGTGTTAGCTAAAAGGAAAGTCTGGACATACATGGATTGTTTTCGCTAAAGTCTTGAAGGCTAAGGGGTGACCTGATGGAAGTATACAAAAGTATGAGAGGTGTAGATAGGGTGGA